AGCTTAGCCCGGGCTCCTCCTTTGGTCGGCCTTCTCGCCGGTCAGTCAACTACCTCGGCTGACCGCGCCTTTCCGAGCGCCGGCCTCTCGGTCTGTCTGGTCTCGACAATCCTCGGACCGAGCATCTTAGCCTGATCGGTCACTTCCTGGCCAAGCAGCTTCTGCACGGTCCGGGGCAACACACAGACCAAACTCTGCCCGGCCCAACTTCTGGTAGCCCACCTCCGGGTGGACAGTCGATCATCTCGGCCCAATGCTCTGCTGGGCCCTCAACCTGTTCGGTTTATACCTCGGCCCAACGCCGGAGCATAAATCACCCTCTCAGCCAACATAAAGCAACAATGTTCAAACAAAATTTTGGCATCAACTATTTATTTCCCGAGCATCCATAAGATCAACAAAACAACAATCAAGATTAATACTCAATTTATGGCTGATTTATCAACACAGAGCCAAATTCCAAAACATGAATTTCAATACTACATTTCCTTCACAGGTTCAAGATTCAATAGCATGGATTTCAAGACAACAAAATCCAAATTTCTTCGATGGGATTAACAAGGATTCAACATTGATTGTTCCAATATTCACAAAGAAAAATCAAGTTCTCTTTATCAAGATGTGCAACACCAGAAATTTATGGGTTGCTTATCCAGAAATTTATAAATCAAAGTTTATACAAATAAGGAATTCAAGAATGGGTTTCAACATATAGTTATTCACAGATTTGGAGAAGTAAAAATATATGATGCTAGCTTGAAGAGGGGTTAAACCAACACAAACTGAAATCGGCAAGCTAAGGCCAATGCCGACCAAGAAAGACAGCAGGGGGTAGCGTTGGAGAGAACTAAGGCCGAGATCGATAGATCCAGTGCCAGGGACAACCAAGACAAGTCGGCAACAGTGCGTATAGCTTGGACAAGCAGTAAGCAAGAAGGGTGTTAGACGGACCAACAACGCGTTGAGAGTGTGACGTGGTCAGCCTTGGCTAGTCGTGTCTGACAGAAGTAGTAATGTCATAGGTGCTGGACACGAAGTGCACAAGTTGCGTGAGTTGGGTGGTCGCGTGCAAAGAACAGTGCTGCGGTTGACTTTCGCGTATGCCAACAGTAATGGTGTAGACACCCCATTTTTGACCGTCCTCAAGACTTGGACGTCATTGTTTGAACACTCGATGATTATCCATGCTCGTGTTCGTTTTGAGTTCCTAAAGGTCTCGGCTGTGCGCCTTGCCTTGGAGCCTCTCAACTTGTCTGTTTTGTGCTTGGTTGTGAACCAAGAGCTTGTGGCTTTGTTTCTGAGGGAAGGGGGTGGCCTGCCTGCCCTACAACCCATCGGCTAGGCCCCGTGCCCACCGGCCGTGCCCTCTTTCCATCGGCCATCAGTGGTGGCCGGTCGGCCATATTTTTTGGCTGAGGCCCTTTTCTTTGCTTTTGCAGATATTTTGTTGCCAGCTGTGCCAGCTGGTGAGCACAGAATGCATCCTTCATACACGTGTATGGAGGGATTGCACCAAGCTTCTAGCTTGTCCAACAAGCTTGAGACTTGGATTTCTATAAGAGGGGAGGCTCCTCTCCCCTTTCAGAGGTTGAGAATTTTAGATTAGGGCTGAACATATTCCTCTCTCTCTATATTTCTCTCTCTCTCTCTCTCTATTTGTACTAGTTTGTACCTTAAAGTGTATTTTCTCTTCACTTTTGCACTACAACCTAGTAAAGCACCATCACTTTGTTGCTGAGGTGCTTGAGGATCTTGTTTGGAGCCTAAAAGTTGGTTTTTGCCTCAGAAGTTGCTGGTTTTGAAGTTGTTCTTCAAGGGTGAGTAGTTACCCTCTTTAAGCTTTGTTTTGCTTAAGTGTTTAGCCATCTTTGCATGCTTCTTTTGGCTTAGCTTTCAACTACAAAAACCTTTGTTTTTAAGTGTTTAAAATGGTTGTTTGAGGCCTCTTTGGTGTTGAGGGTGTTCTACCCTCTTGTGTGCCTTATTGGCTTGAGCTTGGTGCCATCTTTTAAGGCCTTTGAGACAATATTTATTTGGCCTTTTAACCACTAAAAATCCACTGGATTTTCAGTGGTAGAAATGTGATTTTGAGGTCCAAAATGAGAGGAGGTGGTCCCGTCTCCTCTTGTCTTGTTTGCTTACCTTGTTGGCCGAATTATTGAGCATGTGTTTCTAGCCTGTGTTGGCTTGTTCTCAGCCTATTCTTAGCCTTATTTCAGCATGGTATAACTCTATTTTGGCTTGGTTGTGTCACCTCATGCATGCTTTTTACACTTGTAGTGTAATCTTGCCATTTAGCCTTGTGTGCAAAATACTTTGATCCATCATGCTAGCCTATTTTGGTTCTATCTCAGCATGTTTTTGGTGTAATTTTGGCATGTTGTAACTCTAATTTTGGTTGGTAGAGCCACCTCTTGCATGCTTTTTACACTTGTAGTGTAAACCTTGCTCACTAGCCTAGTTTACTTGGTGTTTTGGCCCATTATTCTAGCATGTTTTGGCTCCACTCCAGCAAGTTTTTACTCATGTTTTAACATGCTTTAGCTTTGTTTTGAGGCTTCTTGGTCGTATGATGCTTGTTATGCATGCTTGTAGTGAAATAGCCTTGAATAGCTTTGAGTTTTGAGGTATCTTGCATACTTGGCTTGAGGTATTTGCATGTTTTGGCA